ATTCATTTTGTGAAGAATCAAGCTGATTCTAATGGAGGAAAACACCAAATAAAATAATACAGTACAGCACCTTTATAATGAGGACACCTTTATAATGAGGACACTTTTATAATGAGGACATTTTGTAATGTCCCAATTGGTACAAGCCTATACAAAAGTACCTCTGAAATGAGGACACCTCTGTATTAAGGACAGGTACATGTACATGTAGTGTGGGCCCAATGGCGTCCTTAATAAAGAGGCTACACTGTACATGTATTAAGGACAGGTAGTGTGGGCCCAATGGTGTCCTTAATAAAGAGGCTACACTGTACATGTATTAAGGACAGGTAGTGTGGGTCCAATGGTGTCCTTAATAAAGAGGCTACACTGTACATGTATTAAGGACAGGTAGTGTGGGCCCAATGGTGTCCTTAATAAAGAGGCTACACTGTACATGTATTAAGGACAGGTAGTGTGGGCCCAAACATTCTCTTACTTTCAATGATTCTCTCCTCTCCCTAGCGGAACCGGGTGTGGTCTTCCCTTGATCTGACCCTGCCCCTTCCCCAATAGTGGGTGTGGTCTCCTCCTCCTCCTCCTCCTCCTCCTCCTGGCGGTGCATGTCTGACATTTGTTGTAGAGATTGCTTCAGTTCATGAGATTTAGCGACTTTCTGTAACAGCAGGAGAGTCTGACTGATCTCGTTCTGTGAGTGGGTGAGCTCTCGCTCCTCCTCTATCGTCTGTACAGCTAGTGGGTGTGGTTTCTTTCCTTTGTGTGGTAGAGGGCTCCTGCAGTGTAGCGGTGAGGACTCCTTTGATGCTGTTTCTTCAAGAATGGTTTCAAGAGAGCTCATCCGGTCAGGAGGTAACTATGGAAACAAAGGGAAAGAAATACAGCAAGAACAATCATTGTATAATGCTACTGTAATATAAATTCAGTCATTTCTTTTCTAAATTAAACAGTAAGTTATTTGGTACAAATGTTTAGTCGAAATCAAACAGGCTCAAACTTGAGTATACATGTACAGGTGCTATACTCACTGGTAGGTGCCCCTCCTCATCGTCCGATATGAATTGGGTTAAGTACGACTCTAGAGTACTCAGGTCCTCCAATAGGACACTGACTCTAGGAGAAGCACCAGCTGGGACATCATCCTATGGAGAGAAGAGATTATTATTATTATTGTTATTATTATTGTTATTATTATTGTTGTTATTACATTGTTGCCAGTTAGTCCACCAGCAGTTGCTAATTCATTCAGCTCTTGTAGGAGCAGCTGTATCTTATCAGCACTTCTCTCCTAAAGAACAACAACACAGCACATAGACATAAGACACAATTAAAATAAACAAATTCTTTACATTAAACTATCATACAATACATGTACATGTAGGTACATGTAGTTATATCAATACTAGCATGAGCACATGCACACCTCATGCTGCATTCCAACAGTCACTGGTGAATGAATGAATGAATAGTATGTGATAAACAACCAACAATGGACTTCACTCTTGTTTCTTAAAAGCAGCTGCTCTCTCTCCCTCTCTAGCTCTGTCTCTCCATCACCCTCCCCCCTCTCTCTCTAGCACTCTCTCTGTCTCTCTCTCTCTCCCTTTCTATCCCAGCAAAAGGGATATACATTAAGGTTTTGAAAGATAAGAGCAGCCGCACTATAGATACTAGTAGAGGCAGTCACAGTCCCCAGCTGGTTGATAATGGAAACCATAGGAATAACTACTATCATATCACAAAACATACCAGTAGTAGAGAAAAAGGTCACGCTACAAGATGTGTATTGTAAGATAAAGAAGGTACTATGGAGCATGAGGGAGGCACATGTCAACCAGGAAAACACGCTTGTATAATGTTTGATTGACTAATAGTCATAATGATAAATGAAGACACAATAAAGACAGGAAACTCTCTCTCTCTCCGTCCCTCTCTCTCTCCGTTTCTCTCTCTCTCTCTCCCTCTCTTGATCTAATGTCATGGTGTTATTGATGTGGTGTTAACTTGAACAGTTTCTGGTCAATGGGTAAATGTGTACAGCCTCCACCACTCATCACACAAGCAGATCCACATGTACATGTACACTCACTATTGACTGTAAGAATATCAATATGGGGCCATTCAAGGGAAAAAATAAAGTAAAATGGAGTTGATTTTATATCAGTGATTTATTCATGAAACTCTTCATCATTAATATTAATTCCTCATCAATTCTATAAGATAACATACAATGTATGTAGTATGTCTGTTTGTATTTCTAGAGGATAGATTGGGTTACTATATTAAGTTACCTGTGGTTGTGTTTCAGTTTGACTGATCTTCAGGAGGTCTTGTATTAATGATGAAATAGTCTGGCTCTCATCACTACAACAATAATAATAATAATAATAATAATAATTAATAATGATGATGATGATGATGATGATGATGATGATAATGATAGCAAAATTATTTATTATAATATAACTAATATGTGGTTTGGCCGGGTTTTATCTTGGCAAATTGACATTGAAGATTGTAAACAAAAAACTAACATTTCATTATTACCATATTATACATGTACATGTACATACATTAATTATTGTACTACCTAAAAACCAACATATATACATGTACTATGATTGTACATGTACACATTCTCTTACATTTCAT